GGCTTCTAACTCATCAGGAAAGTTTTGTATTCCTCATTAGTTACTAGGGTAACGTCCTGTAAGAAGCCTACAATCGATCAGGTATCAAGGTCCCATGAGCGTTTTGCATCTATCTCTACACGTGAGTGAACCCCATTTGTGCTGACGGCCGTACTCGTTCTTCAAAAACTGGTCAGTTAAATTTCAGCGCTCATTTAAGAAGATGAATATGACTGACATGCAATGTCATGTTTTCGTATCACATATCAGCTGCCCAAGTACAAAACTCTGTTTTATACAAAATTCTTGCTGTCAAACTGTGGCGGTTCTTCGTAATATGACTGAGGGGCTGGACAGCAAGCTCAACAGGAATCCGGAACAAATAAGCGAGCTTTGATGGAATATCACCTCAGTCAGTTGTCGTCGCCGGTGAAACAGCACCTAGTCATTCTGGCACAGGTAGTGTATGGACCACGGTTGCTTTAATGACAACCCCGCCATATGCATTTCCATTTTGTACAGCATTCCCGTGTGAACTGATTGTGGGTTTGCTACTGATGCACCTACTGAATTCCATACCTGTTAGCCACGTTTTCATTTAGTGTATCATGGATCGCAGATAATGGTTACCGCCGCTTTAGTCCATCTGCCCCCCGCCGTGACTATCACTTCCCTCCCCCTCTGTGTTTTATTCGGAAACTTTGATTGGTGGTCTATTCTCCGTCGCAACGAGACTGGACCGTCGCAACGAGACTGGATCCGTCGCAACGAGACTGGACCTTAACGTGGTGCGACGGTTTGCGTACCTCATTGACCCATTGAGCTATACTGGGTGATGCCTCCGAGCATCTTGAGAGCTACTCCTACCAGGTTGGTCAATGGTGAGAGGTCAGACAAACTCAGTCTCCTGGTCCTCCAGGTTGGGGGTTTGAAATGGGATGGCGTCCATTTCTGTAAAACTAAATCATTGCCACCTCCCCGCTGCCTTGCGGACAGGCTTTTGAGCCAAAGGCTTTGGATGAGGACCCTAATCGTTCTCCTGTCTAGGTCTGGGCGCCCTGGCAGTATCCCAGCCCACATACAACCATGACATTTTCTTCAAACATAAATTTCATCCTGCATCGGCCGTCGCGCAGATTATCAAGGGTCGCCTTATCTGCTGCATACAGCAGGGCGGATAAGCGAAAGCATGCTACTGCTGGCGCCTCCCTTCTTTCTTTTCCACCTTTTTCTCTTACTCCCATCCCGGCCTCCATTACTAACCTTCCTTCTATAATTCCCAGCTTAATTGACAGCAACCGACGTGCTACTGGAGTAGAACCATCTGCAGCCACCATCCCACAGCACCTATCGGACGCCTATCGGCAGAAGTTCCTTATAAGGCCACGCTGTCCCATTACCATGGCGACATTCAACGTCCGCACTCTAAGACAAACAGGTCAGCAGGCTGCACTCGCACGCACCTTAGACACACTGGGTGTTGATGTGTGTTGTGTGTCCGAAACTAGGATTAATGACCCTAACGGGGTTATTGAATTGACTGCACCCGGCTTATCCTCTCGTTATTGGTTGCACGCATCCGGAGACGCCGATGCGGCACTCACGGGTCAAGCTGGTGTAGGTATCATTCTCAGCTCCAAGGCTGAGTCATCGTTGGTTGATTGGATTCCGGTGAACAGCCGTTTATGTGCAGCCCGTTTGACTACATCAGCTAAGGTGAATTCGCGAAGTAAAACAAAACGCTGTTTGTTTGTGATCTCTGCTTATGCTCCCACGGACTGCAGTTCTAATGCAGTCAAGGACACTTTCTATCACGAACTGAACACGCTGCTACGCAGTGCTACTAGTTCAGATATTGTAGTACTTGCAGGGGATATGAACGCACAAGTAGGGCGTCTGAGCTCTTCAGAAGCTCAGCTGGGTGGTATGTATGGACTTAACGCCGAACGGACTGACAACGGCGAGCGTCTGCTGCAACTGTGTGCGGAGCACCAGTTGTTTCTTACTAGCACTGCTTTTAGACACAGTGGGCGCCGAAGTGCCACTTGGCGTCCACCTGTAGCTGGTCAGCGATGGACCCAAATTGACCACATAGCCATAAGTTACAGGTGGCGCGGTTCCATTCTGGATTGCCGCTCATACTGGAGTACCTGTGTCGACTCTGACCATGCCTTGGTGCGCTGTCGTTTCTCCATGAACTTTACCGGAAGGCGCACAAAGCGTCTCCCCCGATTGGCAACGGAGAAATTGTCCCAGCCCTCTGTCAGGCAAGCCTATCAAGAAGCACTGCATAGCGAACTCTCGCTGTCTTGTCGTAATGACACTGAGCTTCAGTGGAATAGGATCTCGGCCGCTATGCACGACGCAGGAGCATCTGTTTGTGGCACTATCAGTCGTCATCGCACCAGTCACTGGATATCCGAGAGGTCCGTGAACCTTTTGGAAACTAGAAGGCACCTCCCGGCTGGTTCTGAACACAATGTGACCAGACGGGCTATTAGGCGTGAACTAAAGCGGAGCCTACGTGCTGACAAGGAAGCCTGGTGGACCAGTCGGGCTCAAGAAATGGAGGAGGCAGGAGCAGTAGGCAATTACCGGAAGCTCTTCCAGCTAATCCGCACCACTGGTCCGAGGAAACCAGGCGTCAGTGAGACAATCAGAGACAGCGCGGGTGCGCTGATACACAATAATGAGCGCCGTATGGCTCGTTGGGCTGAGCACTTTGAACATCAGTTCAGCTGGCCCCCTGCTCCCGGACCTCTTCCTACTCAGGTGATGCAGGACGAGCCATGGACGGTTAGTTTAGAGCCTCCGTCGGAGGCCGAGGTCCGAAACACGATCACAGCCCTCAATCGTTTTCGTGCCGCTGGCCCGGATTCCCTACCACCTGCACTATTTAAGGATGGAGGTGAGGTCCTCTGCAAAGCACTGACCTCCCTATTCGAACGTATCTGGAACGAAGAGAGTGTGCCGGCTAATTGGAGCGAATCGATTATAGTGGCAATATACAAAAAGGGCAGTCGCACAGACTGTGCGAACCACAGGGGTATTAGCCTAACGCCAGTTGTGACAAAATTACTGGCCTCGATTATCGTTCGTCGTCTCACTGCAGAACGGGAATCTCGGATTAGAGAAGAGCAGGCCGGTTTTCGCCCAGGACGTGGCTGTATAGACCATATATTTACTTTGCGGCAGGTGCTAGAGCAGCGCCACGCATACCGCAGACCGACAATAGCTGTGTTCCTCGATTTCAAGAGTGCGTTCGATTCAGTCGATCGATCGATTCTGTTCGAAATACTTGCGCGAAAAGGTGTTCCCACGAAATATGTGAACATCCTTCGTGCTCTATACTCGAACACTAGAGGCCGCGTCAGGGTCTATGGTGCCCTATCGGATAGCTTTTCGACTACAAGTGGCGTTCGACAGGGTTGTCCGATTTCCCCATTTTTGTTCAATTTCGTCGTGGATTCTATCATGGAGTGTTCCCTTGCGGAATCTCACGATGTAGGTGTTGAAGTGCTGCCTGGTGAACGGTTAGTTGATCTAGATTATGCGGACGATATCGTCTTGCTTTTCGACAATGTTGAGGCGGCACAATCAACCCTGAATAGTCTATCCAGAGTGGTCCCATTATTTGGTATGCACTTCGCACCTTCAAAGTGCAAAGTGTTGCTGCAGGACCACCAGCCACTCGATGACCCCTTGACGCTTGCTAACGAGGAACTCGAGATGGTTGATCAATTCAATTATCTTGGCAGCTGCATCAGCAATGATGGGCGCATAGAAACTGACGTGAGCTCACGCATTGCAAAGGCCAGAGCTGCCTTCTTGAACCTGCGTTATCTTTGGCGACAGAAGGGAGTTTCCCTCCGTCTGAAAGGCCGTGTATACAAGGCCACAGTGAGGGCCGTTCTGCTTTATGGTAGTGAGACTTGGCCCCTTCGGTCTGAAGATCTGAGGCGCCTTCAAGTCTTTGATCATCGTTGTTTGCGAAGCATTGCTGGTGTCGGATGGCACCAGCGTGTCCGCAACGATGATGTGCGTAGGCGAGTACTAGGTGGTGATGATCATGCTAGCTCGCTAGAACAACAGATAGCACTGAATAAGTTGCGTTGGCTCGGGCACGTGCTACGCATGCCTGGTCACCGCTTACCTAGGAGGGCCTTGTTCAGTCTACCAGGTGTCGGATGGCGCAAGGCTCGAGGTGGACAGAAGTTGACTTGGCAGCGGGAAATGAAGTCACTGACGACCAAACTGGGTGCCGTTGGTCCGTCTCGCCTTCCGGGTTGGAGCCCACGTGACTCACCTTGTGCTTGGCTCGAGACTTTACAGGACATGGCTCGCAACCGACACCAGTGGCGCGTCTGCTGCCGTCTCCTAATTGGATTGTCTGTTTAAAGTGTGTTTGGTGCTGAGTTATCTGCGGGGTAATGGCTGATTATGACGCGTGGCAGTGAAAGCCGCAAGGAAGCTGTCTCGCCGATGCCGCCTTATCTTTGCACGATAGCCAGCTGTTTGTGACGGAATGTTGTTAACACAAGGTGTAGGCGCCTTGACCCTGAATGTTTGCTTAGGGCATTAAGGTTTTCAGGTAAGTCCCCCTTCTCTCCCTCTTCTTATTCTTTATTTCATAGGTCCTCATGGTTGTATGGCAGCGAAGCATCAGTTCAAATGGCTGATGTACTGCTGTTGATGATGATGATGATGATGGTCTATTCTCCCCATTCGCACCATTGGTCGACTATCAGTCCAGTCAGTTTACACAGATAGGGGTGGAAGTGGGGAAGTCACGCACAGCTGGGCAGCTCACTTGAACAGCCCCCTACGCAGATGGGGCGTGGGCCATCTAAGCGATACTGCAAATCGTGCGATCCACAAGAGCAGTATAAATTTGTCGGGTTATTTGGTCTGCTTAGCAAAGTGGAGATAACGGAATAACAGAGTAAACTGTCAGCATAGCTCTCTATGCTATTTTACTAGGAATACACGTTCATCATTCCACTGGCAATTTTCTCGCGACAATGGCTTTGTCGGGTGCGCTATTTAGGCCAATGAGACGGATGAAGAAATCACCTGCTGTATTCGTGGATGCGTGCATTTTGGTCCAGCGTCTGACCGCGGTGGCAGATGAGATGGAACAATCGGAAGCTAGTTACTCGATAGGCAGACCGACGGCTCTTCTGACGACGGTAGAGCTGATGCTGAGGATGGTCGTGCCGACGGTTAGGTGGACAGTACAGCAGGTAGGTGGAAAATAATCGGTTCCCCTTCTTCTCTTTGCTGATTTGTTATCCCCACCTGGGTAATAAGCTATTGTTTTTGCTCTTAGCTTCAGGTCACGATCACTAGGTGGATTCAGTGAAACGAACAACCATCAATACTCACAAGCGAGCTGATATAACATCAAGTGAAAGTTGGCAAGAACCTGACGTGCTATTCTGTCACAACGAACGGACCCTGGGTGTCTCGCAAATGGATCACTTCCAAGCGCCAGGAGGACGAGTGTGGTTTCACCAAGCTATAACAATTGTACCTTTAACTATTCAGTTCACAATAAACATTGCGTCGGTATTATTTATTCTCTTCATATCTGACCAATGTCCAAAACTGGTAGGGAACTGGAGAACAGTTTCGCAAAACTTGCCCCAAAACTGAAGCTATCTTCTTCTAACTAGTTGGTGAAGGAATTTGTGATCAGCAATTTGCTCCGATGCTCTCAGTGGTTTGGAAGATGATATTAAAATAATGAACTGGAATGTGCGTCCAAGTTTGCGGGTAAAACACAAACACGCTGTCTTTGACTGCATCCACTCCGGTAGCGAAATTGTACCTATCGACTGAATTTTACTCCGGGTAGACATTTGCGTACGGTTATGTGAACCATGGTAAGCAATTACTTTTGGGTTGGACAATAACAATGCTTAGGAAATGCACTTGAATAGATGTTGGGGTGAACTATGGCAGTCGATCCCATCCGAGTAACATACATGGTAGGATGAACGATTGTCCAATGCGCTTTGCAGGCGCTCGACGCTTGTTGTCGAATCTCGAGAAGTTCACGACTATTCTCGTTCGAACAGGGGCAATTCGAATGTTAGCACAATAGATATTTTACATGTCCTGTAAGCAATATCGCTAAAATATTATTTAGGATCCAAAGGTTGTAGGCCCAATCCACTGCTATCCTCCAGGTGTAACCGTGCCTCGTTGGATTTTGCTGTCCTTAGCACTCACCTGCAACCTTAAACCGCACATTAAGTTGAGCATACTGTATCTTGTACCATCGGTGTCCCCACTAAAGGGAAATGAAGAAGGCTGATAAACGAAGTTTATTTACACGAACTACTGTGTGTGGTGCATGTTTGATGTTGCTTCCGTTTAACCTTACGTCCCTTATCCACAATCTTAAAAATGGACAACGAACAATGATTTATCACGTATAAAATTGCAGGTGTTTTACAAGTCCAGTAGAATGGCTGGAGTGCAAGTTAAAATAAAAAGAATCAAAGGATAAGTGAATCGTCAGTTGGGGCGTCTACCGATCTAACCCCATTGGCCTCAAACCCAATGAGCAACTTTTGACTGAAGAGAAATTTGCTATACAAGAGGTTGTGCTTAGGCGCCCGAAGGAAAAATTGTCAAGTGAATGGAGTAATCCCAGATGCAGCCATATGGAGAGAGCAACCTGCAGAAACATCTGAGTTTTGCTGATATCATTTCGCGGCGCCTCAGTTGTTACTAACAGTCTCAATCGTGCTTAACTTGTGCTCACTATCAACATGCGCAGAACATCGTCAGCTGGTGTGTTTAAGTAAGATGCGTTTAACGGATACACATTTTCAATTTAGGATACACAAAGATTATTGTCGCTTGTCAATTGGTAGCTCTCCCATGAGCCGATGCATATTTGTTTTGGAGAAACAAGCATCAGCTACATCAAGTGTATAGCATGCCAATACGCATTCAGAATAATTATTTTGTTGGGGATCTGTGTGATTCAGATCCGTGTGGTAAATAAAAAACTCGGTAGCAGGTTGTTTGAACTTGGTAACTGTGAGAAGCATTCGAGGCGTAGCGGGGAGTAATTGTTCTGCAGCCTACTCCATGGGAGTTGGTGATTTTTGAAATTTAACGCTTTCGGTACATAGCATAGATGTGTTCCCACCCCTTAGCTTCGGCGTACACAGTTATGTGGGTATACCCAATTAGCTCATCATCGCAAACTGTGCTGCGTCATCCGGATTATGCGTTCTGTTTCGACTCCTTTAATCGATGGCAATTTTCCGTGTGAAGTCGCTGCGTATCAACAATGATCACAACTTTTGGCTAAGCGTGTCCCTATTTGTCAATTTCTGCTGTTGCAGGAAGAACTGTGAACTGTAATACCAATTCCTCTATAAGGCTATTGCTTATTTTTCAGTACACGTCATCTTTGTGATTGTGACACACTGAACAGTAATGTCATGCCATATATAAAGTGACCGTGATCTGTGAAATGCGCTGTAACGCATACACTCGGTCAAAATGACAACAATTGGTTACCCGAGAAGCTTTCCGTCACGCGCTGCTCACGCTTCGACCCGGAAACTTATTGAACTAATGGCGGAGAAGTGGACGATGACAGGTACATGACAAACAAACTACACTTCATATCATCAAGCTGGATGAGGTGTCCGATAAAGAGATGAATAACTGTAAGTTTCAAGCACTTCTTAAGCTGGACACGGTAGTCATGGCAACTAGGGAAAACCTATTAAGTACCAACTTTCCTTCCATCGGTCAAACCCAAAGCTACAAAATTCCTTGTACGGAAATGAACGGGTGGCCCACAATCACGTGTCTGGAGGAGTATGCAAGTGTGAACTTTGCTCGTATTCCTAAATAATGTTGATTGGTATAGAGTATCAGAAAACTGGTCAAACTAATCTATATTTACTTATTTCTCCGGCCTTCCTTAATATTCGGGTGCAGGACTACAAACATGATCATTTTAAACTGAAATCCATTCATATGTCAGCAGTTTAAACTAGCAAGCATTTAGACATAAATCACAAAGAAACGAAAAATATGTTAAAATTGCTGTTCCGTTTGTGGTCACGCGCCTCATTCAATCCACTCAATAGGCTGGTTAAGATTGATTACCCCCATCAGAGAATCCCCTGGAATTGTCGGTGAGAGACGCCAGTAAGTTGCAACACTTACCTATTTCCCACACACTTAAAGGACAGAAAAGACAAAAAGGGAATAGCTCCGTATTCCGTGATGGTTTTTTATTCAGCTGACCGTAAGCTGCCCTAAAATCTGTCCTTATGCTTGAAAGCTGTTGTGACGCTTCACTTCACGAATCATTTAATTCAAAAACAGCAAATGATTTTTTGTTGACTACCTCCTGTTGCATCGTTTCAATGTGCTTTCATTAGTAGGTGGGCTTTAAATAGTCTGTTGATATTATTCGCTAAACGTCTACGATGATCAGACGCCATTGATGCTTCGCCCATCAAGCAAATTGATCATGAAACAGATTCCCGTAGGTTGTCCCATTCAGTATCCATACTAAAACCAGTTCGAGACAGCATTGAACGATGGCGATACAGTTTTAGTAAGCAAATGCCACTTGCTCAGTGCAACCCGGTAATATTACATACTAATCACCACATATATGGTCGTTGATCATCGGACCCCAAACCAGTCAGTTTTGGGTCACGGTAGTGGAGCATGTCTTGAGTAGAGGTGAGCCTGAACTTTTTTTAACACTCAGTTATTGGGCTTCCATAAAGAGCTATTGGGTATTTCATTTTGAAGTACTCGTTGTGTGCATGAATCGTGGCGCGCAATCCAAGTGTGAACCGCAGTTCACATTGCAATGAACGCTGATCATTTACCGGGGCCCTCCAAGAAAACACTAAAAATTGAAACAAGCGTTGTCCACGACTAGGTGGCCTGGAGGTAGAGGCTTCCACCGATATTCTTATGTTCTGGGTTTGCGTCGAATTCACGCTAAGCCTGTCTGATTAGTGCACACAACTTACGAAGCCGGTCTTCGGGTGCACTGCTAAAGCCGATCCACACCCAACACCATCAGGGCCTCTGAAACTGGCAGTTAATAATTAGGTACCTTAGTCGGACACTCAGGGTTTGCTTCATGATAAACTCTGAGAAGGATTTCCGTTTAGGAGATGTGACTGAGCTCTTATGATATCTGACACTGGTTACCTTCCCGGTGATTTTATCGGACAGTTTCATAGAGCAGGTTTAGTTCCTTCTCATGATGACACTGCACATAACGCGTGCATGAATTTCGATGTTATGTTCCTACCCGCCCGGTAGCAAGCAAATTGCTCGGTTAACAAGCTGTGCTACAAGATGCCTTCGTTTGCGAAAAGGTGAAAACCACAACCCGCTTTCTATACTATATATCCGATACTATATACTTCAGTGCAATACACTCAGAGTCAAATTTCCGTCCGTACATGTAATCGGCTTGCACACAAGTACAGAGTGAGAAGCTGGAATCCCTACTTTCCACCGAATTACCGAAAAATATGAAGAAACACACATAATAGCATTGCTTCCACTTAGGATTGTTCGGTCTATCAACCAATGGAAGCACAATCCAGTTGGTATTCGTTTCTGCTAAAGTTAGCGAGACAGATGTATTTAAAGATTGGGGAAATAGAGCTAATTACACATTCTGTTTATTTAGGTGCTTAGGTCTGGTCGACTGGTGGAACAGGTTCTGACTAAAGGGGAATATGAAATGTAACCCATTCTTGTAGGATGAGCGGATACAGCACGTCCCTTCAAAAGCCCGTGAGAAAGAAATAAGGGAGAGCATTCGCTGTCGAAATTCGTCTGACTCCAATTTGAGCTGTTGTTATGGGAGCCAAGTGGCTGTTTCACTTTGTGAGTTCTCAACAACCACATACTTTTTCTCTAACATGCGTGGTTCCCAATACGTGCGGGGACACAACAGCATTGACTCCATACACTCCAAAAAGCACTCTTCAAGGTGCCACTATTTGCAGGTGGAATCGTGACCGTGTCTATTTCGTCGAATAATGACAGTTAACCTGGGACGGTTCCGATGATGTTGAATGAAATAATATGGAATTCCCTAGCCTTTATCTTGGTCACGCAAAGCATTATCGAAGCCACTAATATTTACCATCCCACACGCACTGAACTCATTTGCACTGCACTATCGTTTACATCTGCTGTATCCCATTTCCTTTCCTTTCCCGATCAAAACACACAACCTCTCAGTAGGCCGCAGAACGATTGTAACCGCACTCACTTCATCCAACCGATTGGAATTTTTATTCTATATTCTTAAATACCGCACCTATAACGCAATATGATATA